ATCATTATATTTATCAAAAAAATATATTTCCTCATTAAAACTAAAATCATTATATTTTTATTTTTAATTATAAATAATTTAAATATATTATATCAAGAAACAAGAATCTTATAATTTTTAACTTGACACGAATATAGATATTTTCAGGGTTTTTCCATCAAGTATATTCAACGTCCAATTATGATTTACTAGAAGTGTACTTGTGCAATGCATCGAGATACATCTTCATTTTAATGTTTCGTTTTATTTTGTCTCTATTGATATAATACGGTTTATGTAGTTTTGAGAAAGATAATATTTTTACTTTTGAATAAAATTAAATTTGAAAATATCATAAAAAATTGAAAAAGTTTATTGATATTAATATCAAATAAACTATTTAAAAGTTCTCGTTTTTTAAATTAACAATATTATTTTTTATAAAGATAATTTTTCTGTTAGAACTCAATAATTATCTTAATAATATTTTAGATTTTTAATATTTAAAATGAGATGTTTATCTTGTATTTGATTATATTTATCTGCAGTTAGTTATACGAATTCAAAAATGAAGCTTTAATAAGTTGTACTTACACACAATTTACTTGTAGTCTTAAATTTTAAGTACTATGCATTAATTAACAATATTTCATGTATAAATAATGATTTTTAAGAGTTATTGTCAAATGTTTTATAATATAGTATAGATATTTTAGCATTTTATAGGACTTCTGGTCATAGTTAGTTAAAACTAATAATTTGAAAATATAGTGCTTTTAACAATGATTGTCAACATCAATTTAAAAAGTTAATTATAATATAAAAATCAAAATAAAATTATAGAAAAGAGAATTTTGGGTTCCTCTGCTCCATGAGGTCATATGTATCAAAAATATGCTCCCAAGTTGATATATTGGAAAATTACATAAAAATTAAAAACAATTCTAATAATATTTATCTAAATTATATAAAAATTAAAGTTATATTTATTTTGTTTCATAGATAGTAAAATTGTGTTAAATGATT